TAAGTGTCTATCAGTATTTGTGTTTTGGTTTTACTTTATTTGGATGTGTTGATTTCCATTTTTTTTTAGCTGACCTCGGCCGTTGCCTAACGAAACGAAAAGAACCGCTGCAAATGGTCGGGATGCGCGGCTTTTCGGTGGCCATTAGCTTGCTCTTGTTGTGGCAATTTAGGTAATATTTTTTGAATGTGCAGTAGGATAAGAAGTTCGTAAAATATTTAAATATATCGATATTTAGGATATACAAGGGGAAAGACGTCGCCGAGCCGGTCAAGATCAAGGAGGCACCTGTCAAGGCGAAGCGAAGGGAGAAGAAGAAGTCAGAATGATCTCATGTGAATTTTGCTCAATACTTGAATAAATCTGATAAATTAAGCGTAGGGAGAGAAAGTGAGAGAGATGGAGAGAGAGAGAGAGAGAGAGAGAGAGAGAGAGACATAGAGCGGACTACGTGCGGTACCGCGAAACACTCCTATAATCTGCAACAACCCTCGTATACGCAACGTTAAAAGTCCAAAACAACCCCAATACCCCGGTCACGCATTTCCTTATTAGTCAGCTGTGGTTGGGGTTTACCTTTCCTTACCCGCCCCGATCGGGTGAAGGGAAGACCCGACCGCGGAGATGGTAATATTGACCTAGACGAGCCCCCCACAGCCCACCCCACACCATACTTCCGCTTCAAGTTGGAGGGTGATACACGCGGGCTCGCCAAACCGGGCGTCAAGTTGACAGTAAATAAAGCAGGAGTTGACCCTGATCTGTAATTATTAACTTGGAAAAACCAGGAAGCCGAATTTTGAACAAGCTTTGATGGCTCCAGTGAAGGAAATACCTAGCACATTGAAAACTCAAGCTGGAGAAGCGCCATGAGGATGAAAAGCTTAGAAATTCGATATGCCCATTTCTTAAATGATCCATGCTAGCTTGCCCTGTTGCTCTCAAAAATGGAACAAAAAGCTGTCTGATCGTGCGTAAGTTCCTCAGGAATCTTTGCTGGTTTGCCTCGCAGGTCTTTTTAGGAAACTGTCAAAAACCGCTAACAAACAAACTGTCAAAAGGAGACGGCTATCAAAAAGGTTCGCTTTTGGAGCAGAGAATGCACATAGGCAGCTCAAGCATTCTTCTAAGTCCTCAAAAACCGCTGTTAATTTGCCCGCTAGTTGGTGGTTACAAGAGTTTACAAGCAAGAGGAAAAATTTCAAGTTTTCGAGCAGCTTGTGCACTAATTGACAAACTGGCCCAGAAGCCGCAAAAGCAGAAGAAGCCGTGGTCTCCCCTAGAGTTTGTCCTCATTAGCCAGGTACCATTTCAAAAAACCACTCTCTAGCGGAATTCTAACGTACCTGTTTTTAGGTAAGGCTGCCAAGACAAGTACAGACCTCGTCCGTCTCATCAAAAATCTTTGCTTTTTTGCCAAACTTTTTTACGATTTTAGACCCGTTTAAAACTATGAAGAACTTGATACTTTTAGCTTGAGTGTTTTCAAAGTCAATGAATTTATAGACATGCGCCCAAAATTTGACGAGAAAAATAATGTTATGAACAGGGTCTCATCCAAGTTAATTCCTTTTTTCTCTCCATACCCCAAGGCTTGGAATGAAACCCTAGAACGGTCCTGTTGATGGTGTGGGACTCGATGCAAGAGATGCGTGCTACTCTATTTGGCCCGATCTATGTGTGGTCCCGCACTCGTGGTGACACCGTGGGCCCTTCTCAGCCCCGATCAACCCCATCCCCTCCCCCCAAAACTGGGCCCCCCTCAGGCCAGGACCCTAATCCCACAACTGCGTAACTTCAGGGCCCCGACGACGTAGTGATGGTCCTATTTTTCTTCCTCTATCTACAACTCTTGGGTTTGTCACTATGATTTCTGAACGGCTTGAGCTTGATGATATTAAAGAATTTTACGCGATTTGGCAGTTTATAAATGTGTAAATATGTTTATACATGTGATTTTTACCTTTTATTTTTACTTATTTAATAGTTTTTTGTTTTTACGCTCACCCTTTAGGATAATAAATCAAAAAAATAGCATAGTGTTTTCGTGCAAAAAAAAATCAACTTTTTCTGCCCTGCCAAGGGACAGCGACAAGAAATTTTTGGCAAATTTTGATCGCTTATTTTTGTTTATATTGATTTTGAATGCTTAGCTTCGCTTCAGAGCCACGTCACGCTCCTAGCGACGCCATTTTGGAGCCGCAAAATCTATTCCTGGCGTCTCTTGCCGGGCTTGAACTGGTTTTCCCCTGTGGAGAAAGTGAGCCAAAAAACTAGGCAGCTCCGACATCCATATCTACGGCCGCGATTGGTCTTCGCAGCGATTTTAGCACCGCTTTTTCTTCGGCTACCGTAACTTCGACGGTGATGACAAACCTCCAATCTTGTCTTCCTGACCTCACGCTCCGGATTTGCTGACTTGCGGGATTTGGGGCACGCTATATTATGCAGATTGGGCATGCGAGCGGCTAAAATCCGCTACTAAATTTCCTGGAAAACCGAGGAGGCAACGAATTTTGGAATTTTATGAGTTTTTCACTACAAAAACCGAATTTTTGATACGAAGATAAATTACATTTCTCATCGAAAAGAGGATGATTTTGACAAAACACTTGCAATATAACCATCCTGGCAGCCGGCAAATTGACAGTGGCCGGTCAGGTGTAACGGCCCATTTCCCGCTGCGGCCTTTCCGAGATTGGTAGGGGGAAGGGATATCGATTCGGATGCGATCTATCCACTACTTTTCCCTCCGCTCCCAAATACGGCTCTCTCGCTCTCGATCTCTTTATCTCTCTTTCACCTCTCTCTCGCTCCGGATCCCCCGGGTCGACTGAAAATGTGCTGGGGAGCGCGAGCTCAGATCTCTTGTAGGTTTGTATGTCACGCGACCGAAAACCATGTTTTCTGAGTTTTTAACGTCTTTTAAGGCATTTGCTATTCATATGTTGCATTTTAGCGAAAGTTCCATTTCTCTATCACACTCGCTCTCCTTCGCTGTTTCTCTCCCTCTCATTATATACCCTGCTCTCTCTCTCTCTCTCTCTCTCTCTCTCTCTCTCTTTTTTTTCGCTCTTTGAGCAAAAATCTCAAAGAAAGAGCGTAAGGTATCTCTAGTTAGCTTGGCAATTTTCAAATGCCAATTTTCCACCTCATTACTCCGGTCTCCACACCATTCCCGTCAATAATAGCACCCGGTCGGCGATCCGTTGTTCCCACCTACATTCATTCACTTCCACGTGAATTCTCTCCCTGTAAGCCAAGGACAAACGCGCGCCCGGAGGTATGCCTATTGATCGCGCCGGGCTCGTGCTCAGCAATTTGAACGGTCCTACCTATTCTTCAGTCATTAAAGTATCTACACAAATATTGTTCAGAAAATTATTTTTTTGGAAAGTTTCATATTTTTTTAGTTCCTTTATTTGCTGATTAATCAAAATGGCAGTGTATAAAATATTTCAAGGACTTTGTAATAGAGATACCGTTCCGGCCCGTTTGTTGACAAATTTAAAGACCTCCATAATCACCTAATCCTAAGCTCAAGCCTAAGTCCAAGCTAAGCAAAGCCTAAGCTAAGCCTAACCTAAGGTGAAGCTAATCCTAAGCCAGCCTAAGCTAAACATAAGCCACCAAGCTAGGCCTAAACTAAACCTAACTAGGGAAGTATCTGAACTTGCCATCGAAATTTGAGAAGTCAGATATACCATTCGACGCGCCGTGACAAGAGGATTCCAAATATGTAATAAAATCAACGGGAGCGCATAACGGTAAAAAGTTATGAGGCTTCAAAGTCGGCAAAATGACGAAAAACAGCATCTTTGAGACTCTGTATCATCCCGCGGAATGGAATTTAGTCTAAACTAATTAGTGCACCTTGTTCAACAAAGAAAGCTCTTTCAAATGAGCTATATTACATACGGCTGCCAAAAATTTCCGCAAAAAATATTTTTGGAATGGAGTGTAAGGGTAGGGTATGGCCAGCTAGCCAAAGACTCTTCGCGAATTTGGCGTAAAGCGCAGGTAAGATAGCTCATTCGAAAGGGAATTTTCTGCTGATCAAGATGTACTGTTTCATTTTTGACAAATTAAATTCTTCGAATTCGCATAGAGCGTTCCGACGATTTTTCCAACTTTGATATAGGGATTATAGACTATAGAGACTTCTATATATACAGAGACTATAGTTTTGTTGCCGGAGGTTATTTTATCATCGCTAGTGCTTTTTAGGGGTCACACAGTAAAGAAAAACTTATTCCCGAGTTTGGGAATGTAAAAAGTAGCAACTGGTCAAAAAGCAAAAAATAAAAATCGTGAGGGATCCGAACCCTGGTCATACAACCCAGAGACCCATGCGCAAACCACTAGGCCACGAGACCGATGGGCAGGGTGCGCTGGGAGGGGCTCTTCTCGCGGAGGCGAAGTAAGTAATATAGCTCATTTGAAAGAGCTTTCTTTGTTGAACAAGGTGCACTAATTAGTTTAGACTAAATTCCATTCCGCGGGATGATACAGAGTCTCAAAGATGCTGTTTTCGTCATTTTGCCGACTTTGAAGCCTCATAACTTTTTACCGTTATGCGCTCCCGTTGATTCTATTACATATTTGGAATCCCCTTGTCACGGCGCGTCGAATGGTAGATCTGACTTCTCAAAGTTCGATGGCAAGTTCAGATACTTCCCTAGTAAGCTCATACCTTTTCTTTACCTCCCAAATTACGTACCACTACTAATTCCGTACCTGAAATTCTGCCTAACCCGGTGTTCCCCAGCTGCCCGATTTGGGTTTCTAGTTACATTTCGTGGGCTCCGTGGGGCCCTATTATTCAGCATGGCCATGTGTGTATGTCGGTGTGTGGAGGTGAGTATTATTCGGGTGGGTCACCCCCCTCCAGCGCTTGACCAAATATTACATTTCCATCCGCCCGCCTTGCCCGGGGGCTATACACAGCCCCGGTTGTTGTTTGGAATTGCTTGGAATTGGCTATAAATCTAAATATAGACCTATAAAGCTGACGATATTCAGATATTCTTCAAAGTCGTAATTTTTCGGAAACTTTAGCCCTGAAATTCTGATATTCTGGGCCCGGATTTTTGGCGTCCAGGACCCTATTAAATCGTATCATTTTTCGCTTTTTCGCTTGAAATTTGTCGTCTGTAGTTGGGTCGTATAGTCCCACATATTAATTTAATTTAAGTTGTTTCGATTATTTTCACTCCAGTTTTTCCTCCTGGGAATTCCCGGAATCCGTTTTCCCGGAATCGTTGCCCTTTCCGAATCCAGAAGGAATCCCTAAAAGCATATTGTCATGACCAGCCTGTGAATCAGTTTCTCTCATTTAATTTTGGGCGTTTTTTTCTGAGGAAAGCAAGCTCGATGACTTCAAAAAAGCCTTCATCCTTTCAAAGCTGCTTTTCACATCTTTGCAGCTTTTCTTCGATTCGATTTCCCATTTACACTATTAAAAACAGATCTCTTGAAGATGTAAATTTTCCGAATTTTTCGAAAAGTCGCCATTAATGCATCATCATTATCTTTGAACTGTTTTGGCAAAAGTTGACGATATTTCAGAGCATAATTGGATATAAAATATTTTTCTACAATATCCTTAAAAGTCTCGACTTTGTTTCCGAATCTCTGTCTCCTGCAGCCTTGCAAGCAGCTTATCATTTGCACGGCCATGTCGACCACCCACATAATATTTACTTTTGCCGGGGGTCGATTTGATTTTCCAGTCGGTCAGCGGGGAAATAGGCCTAGAGAAGGCTTTAGAATTAGAGAGAGAGAGAGAGAGAGAGAGAGAGAGAAGGTCAGACTCCCCACCTTTATTGCATTTCTGCATAGCATTGCCCGCTTGTATTCTGTTATTTGGGGAAACCTGTTGGTGTGATTTGGTTATGCGAACCGGGTGATGCCCAACCGGCATAACAAAAAACCAATCAACGCCCGCATTACTTTCGGTATTTACCCGAATTTTGTGGTTTGTAATGCGTGATTTTTCACGAGTTTCGTGAAAGTCCTTTTTTCATAATTTTACATCGAGAAAATGTCTATGCATAAATTTTTTGGCGTGACAGTATTCTTCATTACGTCGCAACCTCATGACTTGAAGGGGAGAAAATTTTTTAGTGTCATTTTTGACAAATTAGCATGGTTTTTATTGCGTTTTTTGCATTTTTTTTTATCCTTGAAAATGGTATATTGGTTGTTTACACCTTTTATAATATTCCTCGCATGTGTTGATTATTTATATCGTCTGTTACAGTCGCAAAATGGAGCTGGAAAGTAAAGGAAGTGGAACATCCGCCCTGGAAGTGGACACGACGCATCAAAAGACCCCAAAATCCTGGGTGTCATTTGATTCAGGTAATTTTAGTAATATTCAGCACGTTCCGGGTCAAAAAATGTTAGAAACTTGAATTTATTTTAACTAAGCTCATTTTTTTAGAAGCCGGAGATGAACAAAACCACCGAAGACATTCCCTCCACCTCGACGATGGGCCAGAACCGGAGATTGAAGCCTTGGATCATAAAGATCTCCCCCCAATGCCCATCACCCCATTGCCTACCGTAATGCTGGCAGGTAGATTAGGGTTTAAGTCCCTTTAAAGTAGTTTTTAGACCCAGCGAAACTCAATCAGTTGACCGTACCCCAGGAAGAATCCCGGAAAAAGTCTTCGAAAAAGGTGATCAATACGATGCCGTCGATGGACGAGGATCCGATGGTTAAAAATATGCAGGGTAAGGGTATTAATGTATTTTAAAATTTTGTAATTTGTGCAATAAAATCGTAAAAGTTTTAATTTATGCTGTAGCTATTCAAAAAAAAACCCGCAAAAAATAACTTACTGCCTTCAGATTTGAACAAAATTATCTTTTTTTTTCGAGACTGGACCAGTTTTTCAAACTTTCTAAAGATCAGAGATTAAAAATATCTAAAAATATCTATTTAATGTTTTAAGCTGTAAATTACGGTAATCCCTTAAGATATTTTTATGTTTTTTTTCTAGCCAACGGCAAGCTGAAAGTAACCATCTACCCGGAGAACAGCTACTGCGCTTGGGTCATCCCGCCGCGATACAACCCCTATAATATGCCAGCCATCCTGCAGGCTGGTGGCGTCCAGGTAAATTCGGATCGAACAATTTAAACCCAAGTTTTAGCTCCCTCACGACGAGTTCATCACCGCCATGGAGTTGATCACGAATGACTACAGGTTCAGATGGTAGCTGTTGCTTAATTTTTATTTGAAATATAGTGTTATTTGCTTGAGAAATGTTTTTAACGACAAAGCTTGTTTTTTTATTAATTTTTCATGGTTTTTAAAAAGGAGAACGCGCAAAAATCGGCCCTTGGGATTAATTAGGTCTCGACAGCTATGTGATACGTCTAGGTAGACGAAAGAAGCTTTGAAAGCCCTTCAAAGCGAGTGGAGTAAAAAAAGAGAGGAGAGAGAGAGAGAGAGAGAGAGAGAGAGCGAAAAGGGCAGAAAATTAAAGCGAAACCGGCATTAAGCCGTCTTTCGGCATTAAACGTAGCTGTCGACACCCAGTCGACGTGAGGGGTCGAATCTGACGGTTCCTGGCGCCTTCGCGCTTCGTTTTATCGGATTTCCGTTGCCTTTATTGTCGAAATATCTGGAAACCATGTTCCGCCTCGACCTCCAAGTCCCTTCAAACCCCAAACCATTCAAGCTACTCCACCCTCTACGGCCGTGTCATCGCCGGCTGGATGGCCTTCTCCCTGATCATCCTCCTCGCCGTCCTCCTCACCGCCCCCGGCGGCGGTATGCCGGTGTTCATCTTCTGCATCCTGTGGTGCTTCACCCTGTTCGGCGGCATCATCGGCTGCGCGATCATCCGGAAACAGGTGAGCATTACAAAATGATAAATCGGGTCATCCAATCCGTTCTCAGATCCGCATCGGGCTGCGTCACTGCGTGCAGAGCGCAAACAAGATTTTGATGAAATACGGTTATTTGGCCGGAATTGAGGACCGGGGGCAGATTTCGTGCCATAAAGTTGTGGTGAGTGAAAAATAGGGTTTTTTCAAATTGTGAAAATCTGGGGGTTCGGCTAGATTTTCATTGACCAAAACGTTTTTTTTCAGGATTTTTAATAAGGGTTTTGAATTTCGGTTTTTGATGCAAAAGTCTAAAGTCTTTGATTTGATCTTTGATCGCTTTTCGGCATTATGGTCATTTATAGAAAATTTTGTAGAGGTCGGCAAGTGAAAAGATCGGCGCTGCTCCCAACTGAATGTCTCAAAAAATCGTAGCCATAAATTTCGCCGCAATTTGCATATTCACATAGGTGGATAAGTCTTTTCTCTCAAATTTTTGGCGGCTAGACGGTACAATTTCAGATCTTAAAAGCATTATTAAAAGCTTTAAACGTATTGAAAATGCAAAAATCATAAGCTCTGCGTCGTGAATACCTTAAACTCGCTAGATGTTACTAAAATTGGCCTAAATTTGCGTTAAGATCCCTAAGTATCAAAAGTTTCCAGATTCAACTCGTCCATCACGATGCGACTGATTGCATCAAGGATGTGGAAAGGTTGATCAGAATCGAAGCTAGTGGAGGAGCGGTGGTTGGGGGAGAAGGAGGACCCGGACTACGACCCACAACTCCTGACATCAAGGCATCGGCTAAGGATGTAAGAGATTTGCGAAATTACGCAATTCTTTTTCGATAAACAAAAGTATAATTTTTCAGATCGAAGAAAAAGCCAAAAACCTGATTCTGAAGTACTCGCAGGGATATGTGAAGGAAACGTCATTAGTAAGTTCATTTGGTTGCTAAGTTAACTCGAATAGCTTCTGGATTGGTGAAACAACGGTACGTAATTTAAAATTCAGAATCGGCTCGGCTTCCCCAACAAACCCCAGCACGGTGTCTCGGACTTTGCGCCAAAGCATTGCAAGAAACAGTACTGTCTTTGCCAGTATGTGGAAAAGGTAATACCCTAAAAAATTGGCTTTAATTTCGTTATGCGCCTTTTTATTTACTTTTCTAATTTTGGCTAAGTTTTCGTTTTTAAACAAGTGAAAAAATAAATTTTAGGAACTTAGAAGATCAGAATTTTTAGATAACGTAGCCAAGCATAAGCCCCTAATTATGATATTAAATCTCGACGCTAATTTATTTTTTTCAGAAACACTTCAACCGCAAGCCGAGAAAATGGTACGAGAGTGTCGTCTAAAAAAAACACATTTTTTTCCCCCAATCAGACCCCCCGATGCTCATTCTCGATCAAAAACCTAAAAAACAACCTTGACTAATGTATGTGATTCTGAGGATCTTTCGAGTTTTGGATTTTGTAGTCTGTATTTTGCGCCATTTCACCTTCCATTATTTTTCCAGCAATTTTACCTGATTCCATTACATTTTGCCTCATCCCCCACGAGCTATGAGGTACCGCAACAATTATGGGTATAACGTTTTGTGTATTTTAATAAAGTATTGATAAATCAGAGTTTTATAATTTATTAAAACACAAGCTATACACTACAAAAATAACAAAAATGCTACGTTTATGGCGACTGTGTGAGTATCGGTTTGCTGCCCAGCATTGACATTTTGCGCCCGTCGACGCTTACCTGGAAATTCACATTTGTAATTATTGATGTATTATTTAGTTTTTAGGATATAAAAACAGGGTATAGGTTGTATTAATTAATTCAACTTAATTATGCAGTTTATTGAAAGGCTCGTCTGAACAAATATGTACCTTTTAGGTTAAAACTTGGTCTTTCAGCGTGCTATTAATAAGTTATGACTTCATGTCCTAAATTCGTTAATTTTGCAATAAAATTTAATGTATATAACATTGTTCTAAATTACTTTAACGCTTCTTATTAATCGCCTAAAATTAGCTTACCGTTCTCGGACGTGTTTTCTGCTCTGGTGGTGGCATCGAATGTTCGGCTATCAGCCGAACCCGTAGAATCTCGTTTACCAGCCATTGATCAGCTGACTAAAAAAATTTGACTATAAACTACAACAAGGAAAACTACCGTATCGATCATCCTATGCAACGCGGCTGTCTTGCACTCTTGCGCATATCCCTTGTCAATTACCAGCGCTTCGACCGAGTCCTGGCAAAAAATTTTTAGAATTTTTAATTCTTAATTAATTTAATTTAATTTAATTAAACGCCTAGGTTTCGAATTGACTGACAATAAAGCTATTTAAAACTTTTAAGAAGTGAGGATGCTTAGCTTACCTTTAGATCTGCGATAAATCTCGAAATTCGATCGTCATCACAAATTTCCAAAATTATTGGAAGTCGCAGACAGTTCTCGCCGACTTCGAGCTCCCAGCCCTACAAAGGATAGCTGATTAATCGTTGATGCATACAAATAAGTTTCAAACTTTTTTTTCGCATAGAAAATGTTTAAAATTACAGTATTACCGTGCCCAAATTCTAACAACGTGGAAAACGGCTTTCATTACCCCTTAAACTCCTCAAATTCCGTACTTACCTCATCAATCAACTTTTCTCCCAGCGCATAAGTGTCAACGGCTGTCGATCGGAATGCAATAAGACAGAGCTCGGGTGCTCCGAGAATTTCGATCTCCTTGTTTTCTAAAGAGAGCCGGATCTACCGTACCTCATTAAGTCATTTACCTCTCATAAGCTCTGCCATTCTCCTCGTGGTGGTGACGATCTGGCTGGTGATATCGACATATCCGTCCCGGCCCTAGGATACAGTAACTAGCCCACTTTTTCTAAAATATACTTACAATCGATAGTAGCGTCGCCCAGGCCGCTGAAATAACGCTCGCATTCCGATTTGGGTTCAGGGTGGGGGAAACGTAAACCTGAAAAACTTTTTCGACGTATTCTAAGGCGAAGTGTCAGCTCGACGGTTTTGTCAGTTTTAAATTCTATTTAAACTGTCCGTTAATGTACTACTTGCGTCTGAAAAGAGGCCGGAAATCCCGAAAAATAGCTAAACTTACACCGGTTCGATTCTTTGTGCTGATGTACGTATGGTGCTTCAACCAGCTCTGATCCTTGAAGATCAACACCGACCCGTTTTCCGTGCTCTGACCGTACTAAAATTAATTTTAGTAATTTTTGAAGCATTAGCTATTGTAAAAACCGGTCCTTGACATGAGATATCTATTCGCTTACGCCGTGTAAATCTACAGCAATCGACGTCACCCCAGAAAGCCGGAAATCAATGTGCGGCTGATGGAAGTCGGCCATCTCGAGGAAGGGTAACAAAAATCCACTGGTGGAAGCGTCGACGTGAAACGGGATTTTGTAGCGGGCAGCTAGCTGTAAAAACTGTCGTTGAAAGAGATTGGCAAAGGAAAAGGATTTTTCAAAATTTTAGGTACAAATCTGACAGTTAAAAATTGAATAAATCTTTCTCTACGTCCTTAACTTCCCTTCTAATCTCATGTAACCAATTCTAAAGCAAAAAAAAAGCATATAACGGAAAGATTTAGAAGTTTGGCGAAGTCAAAAACGACATTTTTCGGCATTTTCTAGATAAAATCTGTTTCCCGAAATTTCCATAGCTCATTTTCACCTTTTGATTCACTTTAATTCAGCCATCAGGGATACTGTAGCCATTTTTTCTACCCAAAGCTCACCTCAGAGATCTTGTTAATATCGTCCATAGTACCGGTCGTCGAATTTGGAGCTGAGGCCACTATTAATGCAGTGGAAGATGTAATCCTGCGACGTAACCGCCGATAGTCCACTCGATCATCCCGATAGACAGGGACCCTAAATCCAAGTACGGGAAAACTAAAGTAACGCACTTGACCACCCGGAAGCGCATCATGTCCGCCAGGTGCTGAAAGACAGGGTGTGCCGAAATTGGAAGTAGAATTTCGGGGCTTTCGATCGATTCGGCGAGAGCTTTTCGTCTGGCTGCTAAAAATATTGATTTGTTTATCTATTGTCGTAAAAATTATTCATTTAAATGTTGCAATAAAACCTGGTTAAAACGAACAAAAAAAATCGATTTGTTCAGCTGCCTAAAATGCTTTTTACAAAATTAGGATGTTGCAAAAAATCAAAATACAATCGAATATGTTCTCGGTTAATCTGGATTCCGAAAGAATCTCTGCTGGCTTACCTTTCAATAACCGATTTTTTTGCCGTACTTACCGTAATAAACCAACAATACTGATTCAGGGTTCCCGGATGTTACTACTCCACTAGAGCCATGCCCCGCGTGCATCATCGTTGATACCTAAAAACGGTCCTTTTTGGAATTCTAGTAATTTTTATACCATTTTCACCACTTCGGACTCCATCTTCCTGATGCCTTTTGGGGAGTTGGCGTTTTGGAATATTTTTGTGACCTAGACGGTATAAAAATACTGATCTTCAGGTAGGTACCTCTTGGATCGCTTCCGCTCCTCGATCGTCGGTGGAATTTTGAAATGAGATTATAGGGTTTCCGAGGAGTGCGTATTGCCTAAATGTATAAATTTTACTCTAAGAAACTATAAAATTAAAGTGATAGCCTTACGATAGCATCCTAAAGGTATCTAAAACGTGTAATACCCAAAAGCTCAACAAAATTATATTAAAAAGCCTTACTTTGCTTCCCGCACGATATCTTCCCTCTCTAATCCTCGCTCCGGCAGAAATTTATAGAATTCACGAAGCTAAAATCATAGCACCTTCATATTTCAATTTTTTTAAACTCACAAAGTCATCCTTATGCGTCTCCTCCTCAAACAAATTCTTTGTATTCGCCAGTATCTCGTCAAATCTCGGCCGTACCCACGGTAAATTGCGTATCATCGCATGGCTCTTTCGATTAAAACGCTCGAAAAATGAGATCTCAGATGATGTGATTTTTCTGGAATTTTTACAAATTTTGATTGACCCTAATTAGCGACTCACCTGATCCACGCGACCAGGAATATTAAAGAGAAAGTATAGCAGACCACCTGCCAAGATTCGAGGTGCCCGGTGCGGCGATTGAATTGACCGCTGTAGTTTTGCATTTTAACGTAGTTTACATAGTTTTTAAATACCGCCAAATATCCACTGATTCCGAGAATTCATGCATGTAGGCGTAGAAACCGGAGACATCACTGGGTGTTGCCATATTTTCTGTTTTGGTTTTTGTAAACTAAATCTGTAACTCTGAAGTTTTAAGCGATTCTATAAAATTTAATGCTAAAAACATCAAGATCCTGGCGTCATAATACGTGATAATACTTCAATAGCACGGAAAATAACTGCAACACTTTGAAAACGATTGAATTCTAGTTTTCTAGGGCTTTTAAATGCCGTAACTCCCTTTTTTTAAGTGTATGTAAATAGTAAACAGTCGAAAAATACCCTAAAAACTTTAAGAACAGCTATGATTTTGCGAGAATACGTAAAAAAAACACAAATTACGAAAAATCCGTGCCTTAAGCCTAGAAAGTAAGTAAAAAAAACAGCGAAGAAATTAAAAGCCTTTTATGGATGAGGATATCGAAAATAAGGCCAAATCCATAAATTTAGCTAAATATGGATTTAGCATCCAAAATGGGGGCACGAAATAACGGGTAAACGGGGAGACGCAAGCCGAAAAACAGGAAAACAAGCCGGGGCTGGCTGGCCACGGCCTCTACTTGGCGTAAACAACCCCCCTCTCCCCTCCTCACATCAACCAAAAAAAGCCGACACGGGAAAATCGAAGGAAAACGAGACGAATGGGTCCCACAGGCCGCAAAACGAACGGCTTTTCAAGTTAACGAAGGCGATGCCCAACCCCGAAAACACTTTCCGGCTGGGATTTGTCGGCTAGGAAGCTACGAAATTTATTGAAGAATTTTTAAAGCTTAAAATTTTTGTTGGGCTTCAAATTCAGCCATGTTGAAGTTTATTCTACTTCTTGCTTGAGTTATAGCTTCAAATTTACTAAAAACCTTCAGAAATTACATGCTTCCGGAAAAATTAGCCTTTCCTGGGTCAGTTAACGATTAGAAAGGTCGGATTCTCGACTGAAACGGGTTTCTTCAAGGAAAGTTCAGGTAATTGGTCCGCATATTCCTATGTTCAAACGATAAAGATGTTATCTTTTTTTCTTTGGAACGATGTCCGTGCGTAAATAGGTGTAGACGTAGCTGCATGCAGGGCCGATGGTTGAATGTGCACTTTAACGTATTTAACTTACGAAATCTTTTTGTAAGAAAATTTATTACAAACGCGGCGTTGAAAACGGGGATTTTATTTAACTTCGTAGCGCGATCATCAGCGTTCTTACCTGTAAAAAAATAGAATTCCTTCTTTTGTGACGGTAGTCGCCCAGCTTACCTTAAAAATGACATTAAAAGTCTAAATAGTGAATTTGAGACTCTGTATTGATCTCAAATATCCTTAGCCATTTCTCCACGAAAAATTCGCATTTTTCTTGATCGAACGACATTGACACCTCGGCTATCCCATGCCCTCGTGACCATGCGCGCCTCGGTTTTTAACGTGCGCCCAAGCCCATCGCCCGGGGAGATCCTCTTCCCCTTCAAAAACGACGAAGAAAAGGAAAGGAAAGAGAAAGACTGATGAGGCAAGGCAAAGAACCGAGACTCCAGGGATCAGCTGGCTTTTTCACTTTCTACTCGTGCTCTCTCTCTCTCTCTCTCTCTCTCTCTCCTGACTTACTCGCTGCCTCTCTTTTAAAATATCGCCCCACCGCCGCCCAAGCCAATTACTCGCACACATGCCCTTTTAGTTGCGTAATAGACGCGCGGAAACGTGTTCCCCCGGCTTCTTCTTTGGCGCATGTTGCTCTACGAAGAACACGCTACTTTTTAGTAGCTCGGATATTTATTTTTAACGAAAATTAGGCGTTTTTGACGCTTGAAAACTATCCCTTTTCGAAAAGTTTCGATTTGGCGCTAAAAAATCGTATTTTGAAAAGGTTTATAGGCGAATGTCGCGTAAATAATGGATACCTTTATGCAGTTTTATATATTATTTCGAAGAGAATCCCGAAAAGCAAGAATTTCCTGAGGCACGAAAGCTAACTAATTTGAAAAGTGTCGATTTTGCGCTAAAACTGCTATTTTCAACTTCAAGAAGCGGTTTGTGAGCTTATGGTTAGGAAATGAATGGTTTTTATATAGCTTTATCTCATAATTTAAAGAATTAAAGTTTTATCCACTATTTCATGGGGAACGCATGGCTTTTTTTATCTAATTCGAAAAATCCTAAATTTTCACCCTGGTAAAAACGTTTCGGAAAAAAATTAGCTTTTTTATCTGGCTTCCAAACTTCTATTGCCTCATAATAAGAAATTCCGCAATCTCAACGTGCCATAATATGTGAATTTTGACCCGTAAAAGCCACGGCTTCTCCCCGCTTTTTGTCGTTTGCTTGGTGTGCACAGCTTATCGCTCTCTTCGTTTGTCTGCGGCGCTAGCGCCAGCCGCCCGGTGGTTCAGCCCGGTTTCCGGTTTCATAGAAACGTCAATCTTTCATTTTTATCACTTTTGTTACAATTATTTTCCATTTTTTTACTTTTTCATGCTATTAAAACATGATTCCTTTTCAGCCGTTGCCCGCTCGGCCAGCCGTTGGATGAGCTTGAGTTCCGAGTTAAAAAGGGATGTTCTGAGGTTGGCATAGCTTTTTGAAAAGTATAATCTTTAAATATTGACGTAAACCTTTATTCTAGGTGGGGCGCCCCAGAAGTCCACGCGTGGCTGGTTAGCATAGGTTTCGAGCGGTACGCCCAATTGCTCGCCGATGAGCATTCGGTGGGTTTTTATATTAATTTACTATTAGACCTTGACGATTATATTCCTTTTAGATTGATGGAAAGACGCTTTTGTTACTGAGCGAGGACGATCTACGGGAAAAGCCGCTGCAGTTGAACAACCTCGGCGACATCAAGCGGTTAGGGTTTGAGATTGCCCAGTTGCGAAGCGTGAGTTTTACCCTACTTTTCATAGATCAGTAGATTCTATAACCTATGCTAACCCTTTTAGAGATACAATGGCTTTCATGTCAACCCCAAATCCCCCAGCGAGGACGTGCTCCTCTGCGTCGATTACGAAAAGACAACCGATGTTCAGGTGGCCGGGAAAACGGTGCCGATCAAGACGATAGATACGGCAATTGTAACGTGAGGATTCTTTTCTAGGCCTTAAAATTATGTTTTTAGAAATGACGAGCTTGCCGACACGCTCAGCGCTTGCGGCGATGTGCACGGTATTCACTTGATCTCGCGGGAGGAGTTGATACGATCTGTCGAGGTAATTATTTGTTAAATTTAGTGTTACACTTTATATCGTCATATTCGCGACCTAAAACTATAATTTTCATAACTGTTTGGAACTTTTACATAAAATGCTCGATAATTGTGATCATTTCAGTCCCCCGACACCGCATTCAAAAGTTTCGCCAAGCTGGCGATCGCCTTCATCTACTGCCTCGGCTCGCTGCTCATCACCGCTTTTGTTATGGTCATCGTTCACGATCGAGTCCCAGGTTTTTCAACCCGATTTTAAAATTTTTGTTAATTTGAGATATGAAAACCTACCCACCACTGCCAGACATTGTGCTCGACAATCTACCGCTTATTCCCTGGGCTTTTGACATGGCGGAGATGATCGGCCTCGTTTTGTGTACAATCTGGGGATGTGTGTTGCTCTTTCACAAGCATAGGTGAGTAAAATTACGTTTTGATAGGGTTTACTATCAATGTTTAGAATCTTAAGTTATACGACTTTTTTAGGGTAGTCGTAGCCCGCCGAATGTTCTCAATGGTCGGCTCGGTATTTCTGCTCCGTTGTATCACGATGCTCATCACCTCACTCTCCGTGCCCGGCGTCCATTTGGAATGTAGAGCAAAAGTATTTTTTAAGCTTTAGCTATATTTACGTTTTTTAGAGTTACGGGTCGTTGAAGGAAAAGTTCTGGCAGGCTTACCTGATTTGGTCGAGGTTTGGCATGTCGATACAGGTTTTTTCACCATCTTTTTAGTGACTAAAGAAATTTTAGGGAGTTCGCTCGTGCGGCGACTACATGTTCAGCGGCCATACGACAACAATCACACTGCTCAACCACTTTATTACAGAATGTGAGTTGTTTTCTTGCTTTTTAGATCTTGATTAAGGTTTCTTTACTATTTGTTGCCTTCTATATAGCTTAGATATGTTTTTATTTTGTTGCTATTTGGTTTTAATGGCTTTTTAAATTTAGCTGTGTTTAATTGCATTGAATTTTTAGATACGCCAGCCTCGTGGACTCAACTACACACTTTGACGTGGGTGCTGAACCTCTTCGGCATCTTCTTCATCCTCGCCGGCCATGAGCACTATTCGATCGACGTTTTTATTGCGTTCTACATTTCGTCGAGGTTTTTCCTACACTGCAATCCGAAAAATATACGTTCTTTCTAGAATGTTCCTCTACTACCACGCCTACGCCTACAATCACGCCAATTTGACGGCCACCGACGATCGGATGAGGCTGTGGTTCCCGCTTGGGTGGTTCTTTGAGGCCGGCTCGAAGGGAAAGGTAAAAACCTTTTTCTGAGAGACTTCAAATAAATACTTCTAGGTTATCAACGAGTACGAGTTCCCGATCTCGTTTCCCAAGTTCCGGAAGCGATCTACGGAAGAGCGACCGTCTAGCGCCGAGCGGAAAGAGCTGGAGATGATAAAAGGTAGAAAATTTGAACCGAATTACAGCTTTTTGTATCGCCCTGAACGTTGTTTAGGAATGCCCATTAGGATATTTAGGAGTTAAAGCGTTTAAAAAACATTAGAATTAGCAGATTTAATGATTTCGTTTGCTATCATGAAAAGATATCCTTTTGCCTGTTCTGCCGTTACAGAAATTGTTTAAAAATTCGCTCGTTTCGCGTAAAATTTAAAAAATGTGGAAACTGGAGCAAGACAAAATTAGCATTATCGGACAAAATTGGCGAGGCAACCTCAATTACGCGGAATTTTTCAAGTTTTAAATTTCACGATTACGATTTAAAAATTCCTTTCCAGATCCGAAAAACAACAACACTTCCGACAACACCCACCAACACACCAATGGCACCACAAAACCCCGCCATCGCAAGGGCCAGCGAAAAGAATAAAAATACCCAGTAGGCCAAATCCAAAAATTGATCCCAGTTTGCTCATGCTCTCTGTTTTGTTTTTTTGCTAGATTCAATTCTGTGATATAAGGAGTTTTTCGGTTTTTTTTGCCCTGGGTATGCCTGTAGTATGTTTTTTTTGTCCTTTCCTCTTACCTCTTTTCTGAAGCTATAGCTTTACACGCACGCCTCCTCCTCCCCCTGTGTCTTGTTATGTTTGTTGTCTTCAGATTTTATCCGTTGTGCATAAGGATGTTTTTGTCGTAATAGAATCGAACAGGAAGTAAAAAGTCCTTTATCGAAAATGCGAACACAACGGGCGAGAACAGACCAGTATTTGTGACACGGTATAGGTTGATTTAGCATTGGCAACTCGCCAAAAGTATGTATTATGCGGCAAGGAGCGGAGAACCAATTGCATACCCAGACATGTGGAATTTGGTGTTGAATTAGAAAAATGGTTACGATCGATTGGACCTGGAATACCTGGAAATGGAATGTGGAAACAAGTGGAGATTTTTTGGGAAAGCTTAGTTGCGAAAATTAAAGGAAATTTTCAATAAATGTAATTCTATTGAGTGGAGATCTCGATCATTTCCTTTCCCTCGCTGTTCAGCGGCTCCATCTCGACGGCTGGCGGGTCCTGAAGGGACATGGTATAAAATTTAATGGGCCTCTGATTCCGGAATTTTTATTTCTTCCCGAAAACATATAAATTTCTCGGAAAAACTATAAAAATTGTGGCATTTCGAAAAATGAGGCGTGATTGGTTCACGATCAGGAAATTTAGTTTATTTTCTCTGAAAGCCGCTAGGCAAAGAGTTCTAAAGAAACATTTTTTACGTTGTACGTGCCCGTTATAATGGATTCAAAATGTATAAATTATAATCTTTTAACTAACCGGAATAACTTCACAGCAAATGATTCGCGAAGAGACAACGAGTGAAGCAATGGCAACGAGGAGTTCAGCCCCGGCCAAACCGATGATCCCAGCGTCTAATCGATAGTCCGTGCCGAGACGGGTCATCATGCTCAAATCGGAAAGTTTTTTGAAATTTCTAATTATCGATCTGCCGGTTGGATACGGTATTTTGTAAAAACCTACCTCTTATGATGCCCATCCACAATCTCGCCGCATAAGATTTGGCATCGACTGTTATCGGGTAGTGAGGCGGAGAGGAGATGCCAATCACAGGCACCGTAGCACTCATGCTAAAATGTGGATTTATCGATTGTATTAAATTTTATTAAATTTACGATGATAAGGGCATCTTTAATGATTATTCACTAAACGGAGTTTAAAGAATTGCAAATTCTTTAAATATAAAAATAAGTTTTGGATTTGCGGCGCCCGCTACAGGCAACGCGCGCCTTTCCGTTGCGTAAAGAATTACAGCGGTTGTGTTTAAGATTAAAAGCAAATATAATAAACATACCTTAAAGAAATGGATATCAAAGCTGGAGACGATCACGATGCCGGGGACAAGAATTAGAATAGCATGAATGCTCATCACCACCGTCGCGATGACAAGTCCACGACGATACGATGCAGCCCCGAGGAGGGCAACAATTCTGGAAATTCAGATTTTTAAGACGACAAGTTTCATAGAATCTTTTGACCTTAAAGTATCTTTGAAAAAAATCACTATAAAAACTGACCCCATAACCACAAAATAAAAGGAGCACACTTCCAAAAGGCCATGGAATCGAACGGTGTTGATTCGGGAAGAGATGTAATCTGCCAGCGCTGACATCACGACCATGATGATGCCGAGGAATACGTGCATTTGGGCAAGCATCTGGAATTGGGATTTATAACCATTTTGCATTTAACAGAAATATACCTTTAAAATCGATAACAACTTCATGGTGGCCGTCTCGGAGAGCTGTTTGCTTTTCAGGTAGGCGAGTTGCGTTCTAGAAAGATTTATTTGTACCTGATTTTTCGTAACGATTGTGATTTCTAATTTTCACGTGCAAGGACTGCACCATAATTTATTAGTTTAGCTTGCCGATTTTTTTAATCTATCGTATACCCGATTTAGGCGGTTGAGAAAAGCAATCTGCAGATTTACACCAAAAACTTGCGCGCAAAATTTGCTGTTTTTACAGGTAATACGATTTCGCCGCTCAACAAATGTTCAGAGTATCGTTAATACGTTAATTTTTATAAGTGGATTTCAACTGAATGAGTCTATCAAAAAATTAGCAACAAAATAGATATATTTTTGTACAACGTGGTATTAGAAAATTCAACGGTTCTTCGAGCCGTGCAGCAAAAAAAACAACAAATTTTTGTTTTCAGGCCCTTAAAAATTGGGCAGACAAATTACATACTCGAAAATAAGTAAATATCTAGCAAAATTAGAAACCTGCATACCGATGGAAATAAAAAAATACCTTACTACTGGAAGCCTAGGCAAGACCGCCGAAAAAATCCAAAAATCCGCTACTTTCCGGGCCGGGAAAAATGAAAGAGCGATGACTGGTCATCTACCTGTCTTGGTGCATGTTTGGCCGCGAACGATGTCGTGTCAAAAAGAGCGCGTCGAATCAGGAGAAACGAGAGGAGAGAACGGCAAAATGCAGGGAGGAAAATGCAGGAAATGGAGGGGCTGAATTGTTGGTGGTGGAGCGGACCAGCCGACGGCCCGGGACCTTTTCCGAATGGCGGTGAGGGGCCTTTGAAAAAGCGGAGAATTCGAGAAGGCAAGCGGGGGACGGGGGTGGAAACACAGGGTGAAAGCCGCCGTGTCCAGCATTATTTTCGTCATCGATCGGGTGGGGGGACAACACACCGTCCACATGGCCCTTTTGGCCCTGGGCCAGCAACATATGCACAAAGCATAAAAATAGAATTCTCAAAAAAGAGTATAATGCGCTTTAGTAATTAAAATTACGCTTAAAAATGGCTAAAACTAACAAAGAAGGTATCATGAGTTCGCGAAATGCGGTACGTAAAGCTTAAAAAATTACCAAATCCAATAAAAAGCTCAAAGTGGAACAATACTCATGATCATTCACTATTCAAAATTGTCACAGCATGAAAAATATAAAAATGTATTTTTTACCTTTCTTTTAATTTAATAAGACACCTTCTAATAAAATTCATTTTCGGCAATTTCTATAGTTTCAAAACAGTCAGCCGCGAAAATCAAAGCCGAAAATTTTAACGTTTTTAATGGGCTTTGTGATAACATAAAAATAGTGAAACAGGATGTTGTGAGCTGAAAGCGCAATTAAAAATGCAAAGATTACGTGTTTTACTTTTAAAAAGTGGAGCAAAGTGAAGTAAAGAGAAGGAAAGAAAAATTAAATTCCGCGCTTCTGCATGTGCCTACGATTCGGGCGAATTAGAAATGCTACCCCCGGGCCAAATCATATATGGACTCTCTCGCTTTTTGGGTCTCCTAGGTGACAGGATGTGGGCATTTTGGTTGGATTGAGAATTGATGGTTACAGAAATGAGCTGCATACCGTCGTCGTACACTTGCGGAAATCGTGAAATCCAACTCACTTGAGCTCTTCGAACGGTGTAGGGGAGTAGCCGCGGGAGTCGTAAAATTTATCCTGCGACGGCATCATCATTTCCCGATAGTTTTGAGGCTAAAAATAGAATTTTACGTTGTAAATTTTCTTCAGTTTTATTGCGGAGAATTGATCAAACGGAGCATGAAAAATTAAAATATAGCAAGCAAAATCGGCCGATTTTTCGTATCTTTATGATTTTTTTAAGCTATAAAACTATGGCAGTATATGATAGAAGAAAGAGGTATAGATTATCTGATTAAATCTCGATGGTTTGTTTATATAACAAAATTTATTGATAGAGCGGAGGCCATTGAACAATGCGAAGCTGCAAGCTGATGCAGCTGAAATTAATTGCTCTGCCCCTACCCATCAAAATGTCCTCCCCTGGGCTGCATAATATTTTTTGAGACCGGATCGAGGCTAGACCAAGGGGCTATAGACATTTTCTCGGTTCCACCCTGCCCCGAAGGACGTCAACAACAAATTCATAGAATGAGCAATTGAGTCTGAAACATTCAGGATAAAAACGTTTTACTTACAAGACGAGAAGCCATGAAAACCTTTTAGAAACCTCCGAGGCGAGGCACTAGTTTATTCGCACGAGGAAAAGCTTTGCAATCTGGAATGGAACAAATTTACAATATTTCAGACTGAAAAACTGCGCAAAAGTGCCAAAAATTCGAAAATTCGAAATCCCTATTTTTGGTATGTTTCCAATGGAAATTTGTAGAGTTTTTGCGCTGTGTAATAGTATCATCTCACTATATTAGAACGATAGGACACCAAAGGAAAAAGTCGGTCGAAAATGTTTGCGAAAAGAAAGCTTGTGGCTGAAAGACAGCGGGGGATCAAGGCTACATTTTTAAAGGGACGCGCAAGCATGGCTTTTTCGGAAGATGCAAACTCGGCGAAATGAATTTCTAGCCGAGATTCTGGTTTTACCGCAACTTTTGTGCCAAAAATGGATCAAGTTTTGGTCTAAGAATAAGCAAAACCCCAAAAAATCGAAAGGCAAAGGCATCAACGTCTCCTGAAACTAGAACAAAACGCAGGTGCTGCTCCCTCCGCCCAACCGTAAAATTGGCACCCCCGCCCCGTGTAAACCAATAAATTCGTGGGGATAGAGAATCGGGGGCCAGCGCAAAATTCAGCCGGCTGAAAACAAAATCAGCAGCAGCAGCCGGCCAAAGCTTTTGTTGTTCCGTTGGTCGATGGGAACCGGCAGGGCTTTTTCGTGGTTGTTAGGTTCAAAAAAATGCGTGGGTCCCGTCTGGAACAGAGCCCGAATTTTTTGACATTAACACGCAAACCAGGGCATCTAACAAACTAACATCAACGACGAAATCGGCTTTTTTTCTTCCTTTTCTCTTCTTTTCTTTTCCTAGCATTTTTAACCTTCTGTTAATATTTGAATTTTGGCAAAAATTTGAAAAATTTGTTTTTAAGGTAAATCTGTGTCCAGAACGCAAATAGCGCAAATATAATTATATTAAAATGCCCCTGAGCCAATTTTCTACCTAAAAAACTATTTTTTATAAAATTGAAAATGAAAACCAAGGAGAATACAACCAGACTTGAAGCAAAGCTCCTCACAGAATTTGGTGAATTTCCAAACGAGGTCCTTGAGCCCTAATCTGCATTTAGATGGACAATTTTACACTCCCGAGAATCGACAAGATTTCACCAGATGACGGCATTAAAATTCATTGAAAAATACAATGAAACCTATAAAACAACTTTCGTTTCATTAATACATACATCGACATTTTCTAAACCGGGCGTAAAAAACAAGCACTAGGCGTCTTCTTTGCTAGTACCGTACGATAATTACGAAAATTCAATTGTAGATCGGATCATACGCGCTTGTGAAAAAGCCAAAAAGGTCAAAAAGCCAAACCCGAAACTAAAAAAATCCGTTTTTAGCGCAAACTCTGCTATTTCTAGATCCAAAAATTCGATTAAGCGAAATTTGGAGAATTCTAAATCACTTTGCACTTGAACACACACAAAAAAAAATCCCGAAAACACGTAATATTTACGTACGCAATGCCTCAAAATAGCTTTTCCGTGTCTTATAGTACAGGGCCAGCCACTGGAATTCGGAATGCGAAAATAAGTTGGAACTATAGTGCTGGCGAAGGGGTGGAATTAGCGCAGCTACATGTGCGATCGTCCATGTAATTAGTGTGCGGTCCTACGCAGCGGCCCCAAGGCCTTTCATCGGCTTTTCCTGTGTTATAATGTCGAATTCCCCGGGCTGTCAAGACGTATAAGACGAAAATGTCTAGACGAGCGGGAGAAAGAGAGAGAGAGAGAGAGAGATAGAGATAGAGAGAGAGAGAGAGAGAATCCAGGTAGAAGAAAAATCGAGGATAATGGGGATTAGGCTGGGAGAAGATCCTCCTTGATACGCAAGTCGATGAATAATCCGATATCTTTACATGTTAAACGTGTTAATAAATTTGCCTGAGCCATGATTAGCTGTGAGAAACCGAGAATTGAGGAAAATTGGAAATTAAAGGAACATGGACTTCATGCCTCTCTTCAACAGGCGATTTAGGGCTAGTAAAATCAATAAGCCGAATTAATATACAGCAAATTTCGCAAAAGTAATATGAACATTTTACCTACAAAATGAAGTGTTTTCTGCAAAATAACACGCCAAATAACACTGGCCTTGGATAAAATCTTTGCAGGTTTGCTTGCCGGAAAACCAGGTTGATTCTTATCGAAATTTCGGGGTTGAGGGTGCGGAAAACAATTTCGAAAGGGAGGTACGGGCGGGGGGAAGTGAACAAGCAATAAGATGGCATAAGACATGGCGGGGTAAAATGGGTAAGGTATCCGCAAAATCGTAGCAAATACCAAAAGGTGGCATAAAATGGTTATCGGGGTTCTTACGGACGTTTAAGCGTAAAAATGCCCGTTTTTCACGTTTAAAAATGAGACTCTGGGCATTAATGGAAGCTGGAAAATTTTGAAAAGTCTGAAAACTTAAGTGCAAAGCTTTTTCTAGGTCTTTTCCCACAAAGAACGCATTTTAATGTGGGTCAAATCGATGGTCGGTGAGGCTGCAAGGCCGAGCAAGGGTCGGGGGCGGGATAAAAATTGCTCGCCCTCAACTCGAAGGCCGACTGCGCGAGGCGGAGGGGCGAGGAGAACTGGTTTTTTCATTTTTCAGGGCCACCCAAGGGCCACTCGGTGTGTTGCCGGGAAAATTTTGATTCTGGTATAGATTTTTTATTTATTGGAATTCTGATACTTTATAAATTTTAATTTAACGTTATCGCGATATCAGCGTTTCTAAACTTTCAAAATCATGATTCGACGCGACTATGAATTTTTGCTGATTGGAATGCTCTCAAAAACCTCGGAAAATGGCTTTCGGTTACTTAATATTCATTTTAAAACCTAATTCTAGCTATCACGGCGTGCTCAATTCCCAAAAATCCACTCTAACGGCAAAATTCAGTTTTACCCCAACTAGCCGATTTTTTACAAAGAGTCAAATAGTCAGAAAATAGCCCGGAAAAACACGCAGAATCCAAAAGTCTCCTCGTCGCTTCCTAGATACGAAATGACATGTTTCTCTCGCCCGGAAACGCTAGGAAGGCCAGAAAGGACAAAAAGCCGTTCCGACCAGCTGCAAATTGACTCTAGTTTTCCAGACCGGCAAGTGCCATAATTTTTGCAAGGTGCAGCTGCAAAAGCAAAAGCTGATGGCCGATAAAAGTACAATAATAACTGTGCCCTGCCTGAATGCATCAATAATTCGAGAAAACTCTAGGAAAATTAAAATTTCTTTCCATAGCGTATACTGGAAAGCATAAGGTACCTTAAACATTTTAAAGGACGGTGCCAGCTAGAAAAGGCGATTTCACCTTGGTTTCAAGTTAAAAATAATAAAAAACTACTTTAAAAAATAATGATAAAGGTAAGCTGTAAGTTGTAGCTAGCAGCGCCAGGCGAGACAGTTTAAAGGGATGGTGCCGGCTAGCTTCACTTGGCTTTGAAAGTGCAAAGCAAAAATCGATAATTTTGAGCGTAATTTGCAGATTTCGCAATGTCGAGACAAATCTACGTAACTTGGCGCTTAACGCAGTAATTTCGAGAGAAATCTGCATAATTTGGCGCCTAGCGTAGCGGTACCCGACGTTTAAAGGCATGGTGCCAGCGTGCACCTTCAAGTTTTTTTAAATGGACGAGACCATACAAAGTACACCGTAATTTGGCATATAGTGTAGCCGTTGCAAAAATGGGCCCCCGAGCCCTGGTGGCCCACTGCGAGAGGACCTAGGGGTGTGTGAGCGGAGTGTGAGTGGGCAGATTCCGGCCGGGGGACGTTGGGGGCCTTAGGGCCCTCCGAGCATTCCAGCAGAATCGCCCCCCTTTTTTTGGTCCTTCCCCCTTCTTTTCCCTTTCTTCTCCTTTGCCGCTTCTCAACCTCACTTTTCCCTATCGCACTCCCTGCGCACACACATCTCATCTCACCCTCCTCGCCTCCAAAAGAATCCATCTCTTTCTCGGAAAAATGGGGCCAATCTTGAGAAGAGGGTTACTGGGGGTTTGGAGTTTGTAGTTTTGTAGTTTTGTGGTTTTTAGGGTGATATTTTGAGCAGAAACCACGAAAAACTAGTCGATTAGCTCTAAAACATGTAAAAAACCGGAAATCTATACATGAATTTGCTTTAAAAACTTTTTAAAGGAACGATGAAGCGAGGAGAATCTCTAGACCGTTTCTCATATTGAAATAGTATTTATTGATAGTACATAAAACGATCAGGAAACATTTTCGTTCCTGAGAATGCTTCTCTATAATTTATTAGGGTATCCGAATAAATGGATACAGAATCTTTCTTAAAAACTAGCAAAAAACCTGTATTAGTCGTCTGAAAAAATCGAAATAACTGCTGTCGATAGTCGCCATCGGAGCCGCGGAAGCGTGCGGAGGGATAAGCCTCGGAAAATCTCTTTGTTTTCCGAGGATCTGGTTACGGTAGCCTTGCGTTTGGTTATAATGGCGTCGCCATGGCAATAAAAATTCTAAAATTAAGTAT